CAAATTGTTAGCAACCGCCTAAAACAAGTGAAATGCGAACTGCTTGGTCGCCCGCCAGGCCAACTCGAGTTCCCGGCCCCGCGAAGCCTCAAGAACTGACATAGTAGGCCTGGAGACTTGCTGTATATAGATAGTGTCGCCCTTGAAAACGACCTAAGCCACTAAGTGGCGAGAGAGCATAGTTGGAGAACTGTAGCCACTGTCTCCATCCTTGATGAGAGCTTCCAGCCAACAAGACTGGGACATATCTCGTGTCTCGCCTTCACTTGCGACCACTTGGTCGAGGACGGACTCGCCTCGTTGTAGCACGTCATAAAGGAGACCCATGGGTGTAGATGAGCTTACTTGGCGGATTTCGAGGAGACGGGCGCGGAGCTTCGCGACCTTGTCACTGATCTTCTTGCCAGCCTCAGAAGTATCTGCATCCAAGGACGTGGCGTCTTGCAGTTCTTTGCCCTCTTCGACCATTCTTCGAAACTTTTCCTTGGCAAGGAGCGCCTCAACAAGCTGGGTCTTCTGGGCGTCTAGTTCAAATCTGGTGAGGCGCAATTCTTCGCGGGCACGTTCCAGATCAGCCTCGAGCGACTCGCGGATGAATGTGTCAGTTTTCTTAAGCTCATTTAGTGCTTCAGGATTGTCCCTTCTGAGAGTAGAGACCTGCGTCCTGACGTCGCGGAGCTCGCGACCCTGGTCGTTCAACTGAACTTGAAGATCCTTTACCTCCTTCTTGGCCTGTTCGAGCTCGAAGCTGGCCTGTAAATACTCGGTCCTGAGTTCGATGAAGGGTTTTGATCTGGGTACATATTCAGTAAGTATTTGCTCCCGCTCGGCTTTGGCCTCATCAATAGCTTTCACTAACCCTTCATCAGTCAAGTTGTTGACCAATGCGTCGTTCTGGTCGTCAGTAACGATAAGCTTTTCGAACAAGTTGTTGCGGTCTTGCTGCAGATGTGCCAGTTGGCGCTTCAAGTCGTCCTGTTCTTTTCGATCCCCAGTGGAACCAACTGTGCTACGTAGAAGGTTGTTCTCAGCCTTGAGGCGAGAAAGCTCCAATGGGAGGTTGACTTGGCCATCATCATCGGTCGCGCTGTTCAACTCGTCCTCAAGGTTGAAGGTTGCACCTGATTCGCCGGGAATACCACCTTGGGACCCAGTACTGTTCTGAAGTTGGTCCTGAAGATCCTTGATGAAATTCTCATCGTGGCTTTGGCGACCTCGAAGGCGAACTACCTCTTCCTCGAGGGTTGCCACGTCCTTCATCAGTTGCGTCTTCTGGCTACGCTCGTCCCAGAGATGCTGCTCCGACTGAGTAATCATCTTCGTTAGTTCGTCCTCGGCCTTCCTGGTGCGATCGCTTCGGTCTTGGTCGTTCGCCAGGGACCTCAGCTGGTCTTGCAACTCAGCCTTTTCGTACTGAAGATTTTGGACTTCCTTGACGAGGTGCTGCTGGGATTCGAGCTTCTGCTTGTATCTCTCAGCGGTGTTGGCCTTCTTCTCCAACTCCTCAGCCTTATGCTTCCATTCCATGACTTCATCACGGAGCTCGTTATCCTCGGCACACTTCTGGTTTAGCCTCTGGGTCTCGCTTTCAAGATGTGACAGTCTTCGTTCGTATTTGCGGATCACTTCTTCATTCCTCGCTATAATCTCCATCTGCTCGTGGACCTGGGTTTCGAGGATTCTGATCGACTCGGCGCTGTTGGCGCCATCTTGTGTTGCCTTTCGTAGGACCTCGAGCTCGCGGTCGTTTTTTTCCTTCTCGTACTTGAGCTCTTCATGGCTTTGCTGCAAATACTCGAGTCGGGTGATGTAGTCGGAGAGATTCTTTTTGGTCATGTCTAACTCTTGCCTCAATGCCGCATTTTGCTCCTCGACGAGGAGATCAACGTCCCTGGCCTCCATAACGGCGTCGATTGCCTGATTGAGATCGTCGTCGCCTCTAGAGTTGTTAATATCCAGTTGCATGTTTCGGATGATCTGCATGATTTCCGCCTGGGTCTGCTGGTCGAGCCCATTTTGGATTTTAGGAACGAATCTCTGATTGTCGGGGCCCATGGCCGCAGCGGAGAGCATGACGGCGAGCAGCTGGAGCGCGAAGGTGGTTAACGAGAGATTCTGTGGGCGGTCCGAGTCCGACTCTTTTACCTGACTGATGCCCTGGGGCTCGGGGTTTTCAGCAATCGCATGATAGTCGAATTTCTTGGCCTGGCACCCGAGTTCGGGAACCTGGCGACGGATGAATCTGAAGAGGCCCTTGTAGACAGCCTGGAGGTTTCTCTTGTTGGTGAGGTATCTGGATGTGCCGGGGCTTGTGTCTAGCTCGGAAGGATTAAACTCGGGATCGAGCTCCTGGAGGATCTGAGCGAGGACGAATCCATCGGCAAGTTCGTCGAGAGACTCGGCGATGGTCTTGGGTTCGAAGACTCGGTTGGACTGGGTGGTATCATGGATTAATAATGGAGGGTGAGGATCGGGGGGTTTGGGAGGACGGAATATGCTCACGGCTTGGAGCAGCGCGGCCTGCGCGCGTGAGCTGTAGGTTGGCATTGTCCTGGACGTTGACGATGGCGAAGCTCTTGGAGCCAGTCAAGAATTACCAGAGACGGATCAGGTCGTCGCAGTCGTAGTAGTCGTAGTCGCAGTCCGAGAAGGGCGGTCGGTGATGGCGTAGGGAGTCGCGTCGCGTGTCTTGAGCAGGGCTTGGGGCATATGACGGCAACGGCATAGCGAGAGTCAGGGTCGAGGGTGATTGCTTTGATTTATAGGACGGCGTTAGGGAAAATTTGAGGGAGCTGGTCGTGTTCCATCCTCGTGCGGGTTGGTTGTTCGAATGTTCCCGAGTTCAGCTCATAAGTTGAAAGCCGCTCGGCGTCAGAACGTGGTCCCTTTGAGGGGGAACGCTTGGGCTTATCGATTCCACCGGGCGGGCGCACACGGAACAGGGGCAACAGGGGCCACATTCAAAGATCCAGGGGGTTCTTACAGTGGAGTTTATGGCATTGACTGACGACGAATTAGGGGTCCGGCCTTGCCCGCGTGAGACGGCCAGCGCACTCAGAGTCCTAGTCTCACTCAGGCTGTTTACTATGTCATAGATAATCTTGAGCACTATCACCTTGGCCACAAGTTAAAGCTCTTGAGCACTCCGTACTCGGGTGTGGAATTTAGATACGAGTCGACTGTCGCACATGCTTGCAGGGCGTACCTAAGAAGCAATGTTCGGCCTAGATGCGCTAGTGCCTGGTGTGCGCCGCGTCTGTTCCAGGCTTCCATGCATGTTCCGCTGACGGTCTTCGGCACAATGGAACAAGTGCCTACTCGACCTGAGGTGATCAGTCTAAAGGTTCAGGCACCGGGATACATCAAGCGTCATATTCCTCTGTATCGTTCTTCGGCTAACTTATGGCCCGATGCGCGGGAGAGCTGGAACAGCCAAAGTCACTTGGCCCTCAAGCCCTTCACTGAAGTGCGCCGTTCCCGCAATCGGTGACATCATTGCTTGTAGATATATACGAATTACTCTCTCCTCCGCCCAACACGCTCCTGGTCTGCACGGTGTCATGCATCCTGCTGTAGCTACTACGAGACTGCTCTGCTCTGCCCATCTCAAAGACTGGTTTCGTCTCTATGAGCCTAACAAGAGGTCCCTGTATCATCAACAACACACCGAAGCCTTTGGCTGGTATATGCTATACATTAAGAGTATCACTGCGAGCAAACATGCAGAGGCCTGCCTGTGTTCTCAGGTTTTGATTTCCTACAGATACAGCATGAGATAAAACTACATGCACATTGCAATAATGCCACGACCGAACCAGCCCGTGCGGCACTGCTCTTAACAATCTCATCAAACATAAGACGTAATAACGAGTGTTTTCTCCCCTTTCGCTCCCTGCCGAGAAAAACGTCTCTGAACGCCAAACTCTTTTGCCGCCAAATTGGCAGTTGTCAAATCCCAGGCTTGCATTACATCAAATCCGAAACTCGCCGACTTCGCGCCGTCATGAGATCAGTACGTCGTGACCTCCTCGTCCTCCTCAATATGGATGTCGTATTGGGTACCCGAGGCCTGGACCTGTTGAAGCGCCTTCTCTGGCGAAATGGCCGAGAACCCCCTGATAGTTGTTAGCCAAGCATTCATCATCGACGATGCATTCTTTGGTTGCGATGGGCGTACTTGATGATTGTGTAGATGTGGGTAATCTTGCCGCCAGCGTCAAGGATGGACTGCTTAGCATCGTGGATGGCGGAGTCGGGGGTCGACTCGTCCTCGAACCAAACGATGACTGACTTCTTCTGCTCGATGGCGAGAGCGCCCGGGAGAATGGCAAGCGCCGCGGTGAGAAAAGTGATGGGCTTCATGATGAAAGGGGATGCGGACGAAGGTGTTGTCTGTAGTGTGTGCGACGTCAGTGACGTTGATGATGAGTCGAGACGAATGGTTTTCTGGATCGCGGGGCGAACGGGCTCGGTAATGTAAGAATGCCGGTGGGAGGACGGATGTTGGAGTGGTTGAGTCAAGGTCGCATGCGATCAGGTGAAGGCCGGGAAATGGAACTGGGAGCGGCGATGGCATGGTCTGTCCGCTGGCGACCGAACGCATTGTCACGCGGAAACGAGGTACCCGAGAAATAGCCGCAGACACAAGCACACCACCTAGCAGGGACAACACAGACTACTAATTAATGCACTCAACTAACTCGATGCCTAGAAGAAGTTCCTGTCGCGTGCGACCAGAGTGCGGCATCGCCGAGAGCATGTCGCCTTCCTTTCCGGGCCAATGAATGCGAACCGAAGCACCGGACCTGGCGATGCGTGACGTCCCCACTATCTCGGTCCTTTCAATCCTGTAAGAGAGCAGCGACGAGTTTCAATGCGGGGGCCATTTGCTGTGCTAAGGTAGTTGTATGGAGTAGTCAAGACGCTAGGATGTGGGACTGTGATACTTGTCTGCCCAACTATTTGCGAATACGTGGACCATCTGTCACAATTGGAAACAGGCGGCCATGGTGTAACGGTTAGCATTATCGCCTTCCATCTCACAGTGGAGTGTAGCGATAGATTCGGGTTCGACTCCCGATGGTCGCAATGCGACTCTACCCTAAGGTTTTCTTTTTGCTCTCCCTTTCGACCAGCATTGCACTAGCGTCAGGTTTGTCTCCGTCGCGTTGTTCGTGAGAGGAAAGTGTGTCGTCGGCGAGTTCATACAGGAAATTTGTATACTTTTAGGATGGTCTTAGGAAGTCACATTAAGGTTGTCTTACGAACCGTCTGTTGCTCCATCCATCCTGACGCTCCACCCAAAACTCCAAGACGATGCTGATTTGAGACACGAATGATTGCTCCCAAACGCCTAGCTGACAGCTCAATATCCGAAACATTTATGAGTCTTAGTTCTCATGCTCTGGTGATCCCTGCGATACTGTCATGTTCACTCCAGACATCCTTACTTTCCTCCTCAACAGCACGCATAGCGATGGCGACGTCCTCAAGTCTGGTGACAACATCAATGACTCCTTGGTTGACTCGTTGAAAGTATCGATCATTCGCTTCCCGTCGTTTCCTAGCGAGCAGGATGTCGACTTCTGTCTCCTCCTCCAGTTTGGCGCCCAGTCCTTCGACACCAGTCCCACTGCTCCCAGGACGAGGAACACTGCCAGTGCCAACAGTACTCTTTCCAGCTTCAGTCACATCCACAACACCGGGCTTTGAAGTGTCTCCCAAAGCGCCTTTCAAGTTGCGCACTTCGTCCCCGGCAGCAGAAGCGTTGGTATCCCGATGACCCGTCTCGATGGCGTCGTCAGCTTCGCTCCTTGCCCAAGCTTGAGCCAATGCGATCTGGGCGGCTCGTAGATCTGCTAGTTTGAGATCATGACCTTGGCCAAAAACTCGTGTTCCGCCAGACGCTGACAGCTCCACCTCTTCGAGAGTCGCTTGCATTTCCGCCCACAAGGCATCAGTCCTGTCAGCACTGCGTGTGCTTTCCGCCGCGAGAAGCCCTCGACCCGGGCGTTGTAGATTGGGGGAAACGACGGTGCCAGACCGGTTTGAAGGAGTGCGTTCGAGATTGGAGCGGTTCAGACTTGACTGACCCAGCATGGGAGGCCCTGATGCTGAGACGCCGGAAAGTGAGATGTTTGACACATTGGGAGAGGGATGAAGAAACAGGGTGGGCGGCGGATCACGCTGCCTACTCTGTGGTCGAGGCATCTGAGACATGGTTACTTGCTTTGTCGTCTTGGATGAGATGGCTATGAGATTGGGATGTGGTGTGAACTTGGGAGCTACTCAGCATCACCGCCTCATTGGATGTGTTGCCTGAACCGCAGGCGAACTTGCCAAGTGCACGGTGGAGTCTGCCGAACCAGCTAAGCTTCGTTGTGGGGCATAGTCGAAAGGAATAGGAAGTGGTTCGTTTTCTTGCACGTGACATATCATGTGCTTCTCCTCCACAATCTACCCTGGCACTGTGTCTAGGGCCTTCAAACCCTACCTACAATTTTCGCTGGCCGACTCTCCAACTTTTCGCCGTCTCCGCTAATTCACATCACCAACCGTCGTCGCGATACACAGATAACTCGGTAGGTGCTCCCCAACCCATCTCCTCCGCCGAACCCATTGCGATCATTCACGCCACCCGACATCCAACTGACGACGCATAGCAAAAATGGCTGGAGGCAAACCCCGTGGTCTTAACGCGGCGCGAAAGCTGCGAACGAACCGAAAGGACCAGAAATGGGCCGATCTCGCCTACAAGAAGCGTGCTCTGGGCACTGCTTTTAAGTCATCCCCCTTCGGTGGCTCTTCCCACGCCAAGGGAATTGTCCTCGAGAAGGTCGGTGTTGAGGCCAAGCAGCCCAACTCTGCCATCCGAAAGTGTGTCCGTGTCCAGTTGATCAAGAATGGCAAGAAGGTCACTGCTTTCGGTACGAATAAAATAATCCCCCACTACCCACGCACCACGCGTCTCGAGACTAATCATTGCTGGCAGTTCCCAATGACGGTTGCCTCAACTTCGTGGACGAGAACGACGAGGTCCTCCTGGCTGGTTTCGGTCGCAAGGGCAAGGCCAAGGGTGATATTCCCGGTGTGCGATTCAAGGTCGTCAAGGTCTCTGGTGTCGGTCTGCTCGCTCTGTGGAAGGAGAAGAAGGAGAAGCCTCGATCTTAAAGAGGACGCTTGGAGAAGGAAACGAAGTCATATTTCGGCATGAGGAGTCAAATCGGCTTGCTTGTATCGGCATCACAGGTCAGGGTTCTGATCATGGGAGACGAGGTCTGAAAGGAACAATAGATCAAAAGTCTTTATCAATATGTGTACATGCCGTGTGACGAACCTGAGGGAATATATGTCCCAAATCGACCTGTATGATTTATGGCATAGCATTGTACAATATCTTGCTCCCAGGCCGACTAGCCACTCTCCACTGCGGGCTCTTGGATGTACTGGACGGCGTAATCAGTCGCCATCCCCAGGCTGATGACACCGCCAGTGATCCAACATCCATTGACAAACCACCACCAGCAATCCTTGACACTCTTGAGGTTGACCCGCTTGATCATGGTGCCGAGGGTGACCAAAGCTCCTCCGCAGCTTCCGACGAAGAAAGCCGGCCCAGCACCAGCAGCAACGCCTGCTGCTGTCAGGAGACTGACCTGGGTGATAGCCAGCCCAGTCAGGACCTTCTTGGTTTCGGCGTCATGCTTCAGCGCAATGCTCTTGATTCCAGCCTTGACGTCGTCCTTGATATCCATGTGAGCGTAGATCATGTCGTAGAGCACCGTCCATGCAATGTTGGAGGCATAGAGGAAGCCAGCGGCTGTCAAGGCTGACGAGTGAGCCAAGAGGTCGACCCCAAGAGCGGGGAATCCCATGATGGCGCCCCATGAAAAGGTCAAGCCGAGAACGAACTGAGGGTAATATGTCACCCTCTTTGCAAGAGGATAGCTGGCAACAAAGAGCAAGCTAGGAACTGCGTAAAAGAAACAGGAGAGGGGAAACTGAAGTAAAATGCCCAGTCCGACAAGCAGCTGGCATCCCGTGTAGACGAGTCCCTTGAACGGTGTGATGGCACCTCGAGCGATTGGCCGTAACCGAGTTCTGGTGACCTGAGGGTCCAAATTCCTGTCCCAGAGATCGTTGATCGAGCACCCTGCTCCTCGCATTATCAAGGCTCCTGAAAAGAACAGGAGCGATGTTCCAATGACAGATCCGGGGGTGGTCATTGGAGCAGCCATCGGAGCAGCCATGAGTGTCGAGAAAAGACATGGGAAGAAGAGATAGTATGTTCCAGTCGGTTTATCAAGGCGCACCAGCTCCGCATAAGGAACCCATGAGTCAGGGATTACTGACAGAATGCCGGATTGTGGCCGTTGATATGGCGTTGCCGTTGGTATGGTGGTTTCCGGTGCCGGTGTTTCCCTGACAAGCGCCGAGAATTTCTTACTCGCCGCATGAAACCCCAGCACTCCATCGTAGCTGGGCTGCGGCTGGTTGAGAGTCCTGGACAACTGAGTGAGAGCCGGACGAGTGGTTCTTTGGCCGAGAACCCTCAAGGTCTGCCCTGACGCAGCTCGACAATGAGCCCAGGCCGAAGCCCTAGGAAGAACGGCAAGTCTCATTGGAGGCTAGAGATTGGCATGAATGTCAGAATCAATTGCAATGCCATTGAAAACATATTCTGGTTTTACTCACAATTCAACGAAGGTATCCAAGTGATTATCTAACCGAACAAGGTCCTCAGTTCCCAGACCTCCAGCCAGATGCGGACTGCTGTCAGTCCAAAATCTTGAACGGCCCTGTTAGCCCCAGGTCCCGAGACTCCGGTACAAGAATACCCGGGTACCTTCCGGGCATCGGCCAATTCATCAGTAAAGGCGTGTCACGTGAGCTAGCCTGCAAATCGCAATTGTTCCTGACAGCCACAGGCTTTTCTTAGTGGCTCATCTGCAGCATGTGATTGGATGCGCATTCGATGCACGCTCTCGAGTCGACGCGCCTGGTTGACGTCGCAGACGTCTGCTTAATTGTGTGTAATCAATCCGACGAGGCTTCCTCGCAACCGAACACAAACACCACCACTGCCACTGCGTGCGAATGGCCCAGTTCCATGAGAAATACGGTGGCGCAGCCTGAACTCGCATTTTTGATCGTTGCGGCCGTAGGTACGGCCAACCTGACCAACTCGAAACCGACGTCCAACTCGAGACCCCAACCAGCCCGTCTTTGAATGCATCACGCGCGACGCATCTGCTCTCGGCAAGATGCCAACCTCCTTGCATCCCCAGGCCAAGTTCGATCCGATACCCCCGGATCTCAACTTGGATGAGATAGTCGACCGAACACCCAACTTCAAGTGGGTTCAGCGGGTCTCAAGGGCGCAGATTCGCAACCTCGGGCAACAGGAGTTTGAGAAGCTCGTGCTGATCCATGTTGTCGCCGGAGGGAAGCCTCTGGTCATCGATGGCTGGGATGCCGTAATTTCAAAAGGGCTATTCGATGCGACTTGGTTGGAGAATACGTACGATAAGAAACGTAAGTGCCCCGTTCACGACTCAGCATACCAAACCTCAAACGCTGATTGTTCGCAGAGGAGAGCGTGAGAGATATCGCCGCCTCGAACGATATTCCCATGACGATGGGCCACTATTTGCGATCGATGAGGCAGCTTACCAACCAGTGGACGCCGAATAACTTTCGCGACGAGCGCCGCCAGCGACTGTATCTCAAGGATATCGACTGTCCACCTGAATGGCACGCCGCACTGCAAAAGGTCATCCACCCGAACCTCTTTTACCTAAACGAAAACGCCAGCGAACACGGAGGCGCAAGAACCCAGGAAGATGACATTTTCCGGGAGGAGGCTACATCGGCGCCAGCAGGTGACCTTATGTCCAGCCTCCCCGAAGAGATGCGAGCCCAGAATTTGATGTGCTACATTGGACACGAAGGAACCTACACTCCAGCTCATCGTGAGATGTGCGCCTCCCTAGGCCAGAACATCATGGTTGAGGCCTCTAGCGACGCAGACGGAGAGAAAGCGGGCAGCTCGATCTGGTTCATGACCGAGAGCAAGGATCGGGAGGTCG